CGAGGCGCACGCGCCGGAGAAGGCGACTTCGGCGAACATCGACGACGTGCTCGTCAAGTACCTCGGCCGGGAGCCCAAGCTCTTCGCCATGCTCGAGAAGAAGTACCTCGGCGACGTCGGCGCCGAGCCCGCGGGCGACGAGCACCTGCCGTCGCCGCCGAAGAAGAAGAAGGCCAAGGCGCCGGCCAAGGCCCCGGCGCCGCCGCCGGGCCTCCTCTCGCCCAAGGAGAAGGCCAAGCACGACGCGCGCGCGGCCATGGAGGCGCGCGTCAACGCGCGCCTCGCGAAGAAGAAGTGAGCCGCGCTGGTAAGCGCGCCCTGTGCTCTGGGGTGGGGGGGGGGACGTCCGTGGGAGCTGCGCGTCGCCTCGTTCGTGTATGACGGCAACATGCACACAGTGAAGTGATCAAAACTCGGATTCTGATAGCCTGGATTTAAAAGTCAACATTTTTGTTGAACTTCAGCACTTTTGTTGAAGTTAAATCTTGCGATTTCTTGACCCGAACCAGCGACCGCGCGCAAAAAGTCTTCGCAAACGTGCAATCAACGCGTGAGTATCATCAAGCTTGCTTTGATACGACCATTTAACCAATTTTGGCCGTGATTTCAGCCCGCGGACCTCCGCGACACCGCGCCCGCGCGCGCGGTCGACGCACAGCCTCTATGGAGGACTAATGACTCTGGCTCCGCCGGCCGGAATTCGATGATTGATCTTTATTAATTAATTTCCTATGGGCGTGTCTAGATGTACGTTGATCACTTCACTGCATGCACAGCAGCATCGACCTCGACCTCGAGTGCTGACGACAATGGCCATGCGTGCGCTCTTCCTCTTGCCTGCGGCTCTGGCCCTCGTCGCACCACCAGCGGCGCGCCGCGTTCATCAACCGCTGCGCGCCGCGACGCTCGAGTCGCTCGAGCAGATCCCGACGCCGGCCTTCGGGTCCACGATGGGCGACGACGTGACAAGGCTCAAGGCGCAGATCCTCCACTACGGCGCGACGCTCGACCGGGGCCAGGGCTACAACCCGACGTCCGGCGACCAGTACAAGGGCAAGATGGACGCCGCCATCGCCAAGGTCGACGAGCTCGTCGCCCGAAGCACCGGCGCCGTCGCGGACCCCGCCAAGCTCGAGGGCCGCTGGGAGCTCGTGTTCTCGTCCGTGCCGCACGGCATCTTCCGGAGCAGCCCCTTCTTCCTGGCCATCGAGGAGGCCTACCGCCGCGTGGGCACGCCG